AGGCGTCACGCCTGGACGTCCGCCACGCCACGGACAGCGCGGCTCCGCCTGGGGAATCCACTCCCCTGAGACCTGGCCAAACTCTGACAGCGGGGCACAAACCTCAAGTCAAAACTGAAACAAGGGACCCTTCTGAGAGAAGGAGCGGGCACACCGAGAACATCCGAACATACTGCTGAAGCGAGTGGCGTCATGACCAGCGGCCAGCAGCTGTCTCCCCCTCGTCTCAACACTGGCGATGCCCGACCCCTCACGGGCAGCCGAGAGACCTTTGGGGGATGGGGCCTCGTGGGAGCAGGTGAGGAATACTTCGCGCTGAATGACAAGGAGGCGCAACAAAATCTTCTCCTGTCGAGCGTCCGCATCACGGGCAGCGCTGATTTCCTGAACTCCCAAATGGCCCCAACGGGCACCTTCACCAGCACACAAGCCAACTGCATTGTTCAAAATGAGCTCCATTCGCGAGATTTGCCTATCATCGACTTGTGCCTGGGAGGGTGGGATTTCGTCCAACGGAGATCAACCTGGCCCGAACGCGCCCCGAGACGATCCCACACACGAGCCCAAAGGGCCAGCATGCTACGCTTACTCCTCACAACATAATCGGGAGCTTCCCGAAAGTTCCGCACCATGGGGAAAATAATAAGAACCATCAGCAGGGCGAAGAACTCTGAACGCGCGGGGCTCTGACAGGGCGGCAGTAACCTGCCAGATATACCACCAGCCACTTCAGTTTCGTTGACATGAAGCATAACAGCACTCCACCCACACCTCCCTCGTCTCCAACCCTTGATCCCACTACTTCCCGATCCACCGACCCCCCAGACCCCCCCCCCGGCAGAGGAAGGGCCCCCGGGAAACTACAAAGGCCCAGGCCGACGAGAGAGGAGCGGGCAGACCGTTCACGACCTGGTCAAGTGACATAAGCCCTCGACACCACAGGGAGGGGAGCGAGGAGCTCTCCGCGATCGCAATCGGAGCCGGAGACTCCGTGGCTTGGACAGCAGCATCGTCCAAGGCACGGTTGGCCGCGCGCTGCCAGAAGCGGCGCACGGGCGTGTCAGGCTGCAGCCCACACCTGGGACACCACGAGCTGGCGGCGCACACAGCCACAAACAGGCGAGTCTCCGTCCAGAAACCCCCCGCAAGAGCGCCACGAAGGATGGCCTGGGATTCATGACCGAGGTTTCGCCCTAACTGCTTCAACAATCGCCTCGGCACGGAGAAATCGACACCTTCCTGGGCCCCAGCGCCCAAGTAGTGCCCAGCGGCACTTTTCCATGTCCAACGGGAACAGATGACCCGGAGGGCCCTCCAAAGGTAGAACCGAAAGTCCAGGTTTTCTACAGCCAAGGCGAAGCCCAACTCATCTTGCCACTCGCAAGGAGAGGTGGGAGCCCACCCCAATCGAAAAGGGTGGCCACAGTCGCCACCACGGGCCCCCGCACCTGGCGGGGATGCTCAGGCAAAGGTCGGCCGCAGCAACCCAAACACTCTTGACGCGCACGCGGTCTCGAGGACCGAGATCGCGCCACAGGTCGGCAGAACTAGGCAGCTGCTCACGCCGCAGGCGAAAAAGAGGGTCGCCCGAGCTACTAGACACCAACGCCAGGACCGCAGTGGAACAGGAGCCCGGGGCCCGCCACCCAGAGCACCGGGCCGCTCGGCCCCTCGCAGTTTGCAGCTGGTGGGGGGACATGCCCACCAGCCGGTGGCCCCAGGTCCCAACCGACAACACACCGGGAAAGCTCGGACGCCCGCCGATAAATACGCGACAACATCGCAACCTTACCAGCGCGGCGCCGCGCGTCAAGCCTCCGCCGTTTGATATTAGTTACCCTCCGCCTGCTTCCAGCCGTCGCACAGGAACCCAAATCCCGAGTATGTAACTGGCTAGGCGTTGGAAGGCCCACAACCTGAAGGCTAGAAGCGAATTGAGCCCCCACAGCCTGGGAGGAACAAACAAGATTGATCTTGGTGCTCAGCGCCAGGCCAAGGCGCTCAACCTCGCGCGCAAAACGAACAGCAGCTGGCAGCAAGTGCGTCGGGAGCTCCTGCTCCTGGCCAGCGATGTCCTGGGCAATGTCATCGACATAGGCCCTGGTCACCACCCTAGAGAACTCACCTCAAGGGCCTCATACACATAGATTTTCACCCAGGACGTGCTCTGGGAACATCCAGGCAGGACACCACGACCCGTTTGCAACGCACGCGACACACTGCCATCAACTTCCAACATGCGCGGGGACGCGGGGATCCAACATACCCAGGTACAACAGATGGGAAGGGCAATTAGCCTTCAGGGCCAGTCGGATGAGCAACCGCGGGCAGACAGCATTTAAAAACTTCTTCAGGTCCCAATGGAACGCAGGGGAAACCGCCCCCTCATGAACCGCACATTCATGGTAGAGCTCAAAAATCACCGTGGCCTTCAAGGCAGACGATCCCTTGACCGCCGTGTCCCAGAAGGCAATGTGTTCCGTAGTCCACCGATCAATGTCCGCCCCTTCTGGTCTTAGTATACAGACGGTACAGGGTGGGGCATCTGCAGATAGGTCACTCATCGACCTGGGATTTGCGGAGCAGCGCAATGATCCCAAGAAGGATCTGCTCAGGCCAGACCATTCGCTCTTCTCACAGCGAATATAACAACGCCAGGGCATCAAGCGCTTCGGATGGAAGCTCAGCAACCTCACAAGGCTTCCATCCGTCAACTCCCACAGCGGTAGCGGCAGAGAAAAACTTACACACCTGAATGTCATGAGCCGTGATGGGGGGAGCTCCTGAGCAGCCTCCGAAGCAACGCCGCGGAGGCCTGTCATGGCGACCCCCAACCTCATGATCTCCTCAGGCGAAACCTGCCAAAAGCCCCCCCCCACAATTGAGCCCGATGGCCCACCATTTCCTCAGGCAACGGTTTCACACCATCGGGGGCCTTAAAAAACTCAACAGTATTCTTACTGTCGCGTTTAAGCCAGGAGTGGACCCCTCGAGCCCCATCGGGGATGGCGCGGATGAGCCAGTCCTTCAGGCCCTTCCTGGCGGCCACCTTAGCATCAGCCCAGGCGCGCTTCAAAACCGCAGTGGTGATCTCAACAAGGCGATCCACCATCTCGGGGTCAGCCAATGCCCGATAGGTGACTCGATCGGCCCACCAGGGGACAGGCTGAGCAGCAGGCAAGACGGACGAGAACTCGCAAACCCGAGAGACCATCTCCATGATCAGGCCGTGAACTCGGCACTCGGTGGAGTCTCGTCGAAGAACAGTGCGAAGCTCAAACAGCTTAGCCGACAAACGCGACCAGAACGCAAGAGTCGGATCCCGATTGACTGTTCCCATTCCTTCCCTATGAGCGATGGTGGACGTGACCAGATGTAGAGAAGCACCTCTCCCTCCATACTTACCTTCATCATCACCATCAGCAGCAGCTCAAGCACGAGAGAGGAACATGCGCTCAGCAGCACGAGACCACAGGGAGCACTGTACAGAAACCTGTTCATCCAAGTGCACCGTCGCGTGAGGGATGAGGTGCGCCAACTGCACAGGGCACTCCGTTTTCATCCCTGCGTCGCCAGAACTCATATCCCGAAAAAGGAAACGCCGCCACGGAAGGTCAGGCCCGTAGCAAGCTGGAATGTCACGTGGACGCACTCGCCGACATAACTCCTGAACCAAGACACGGTGGGCAGTGTGGACTGACAGACACCTGTGCTTGCAATGGTGAGGGCCCATAGGACTCCAACTTGCACATAGGGAACCAGATCTTGGGAAACCGACGCATAGCCAATCATAGTCAATCATGGGAGAAAGGTACTCCAGATTTCGTAATAAAGGAAGGGGGGTCCTCCCTTTTATTACGAAACCTGGAGTAAGAAAATTTGAGGAGGAGGAGGAGGACATCAAGTCATGCGCCGAAGCTGGCGGCTACGACTCCTCCAGTGTCTTGCCACCGGGCCAGTCGGTGCCGGCCACCTCCGTGCCAGCGCTCGCCTCCCCAGCGGAGGCTCGGCGAGGCAAATGCTCCACACAGCTTCCTGGCCGGACGCTGCGACGACTGCCCTTTTGAAGGGGCCCGGGGACACACCAATAAATACACACAAATAAAAAGATTCCCCATATTTTCCCATCTTTTCTGGGTTTTTGTCTTCCCCCCCACTTCCCATATTTTCCCATATCTTTCTGGGAATCGCAGATTAATTGTGTCTGTGTGCTTCTTCCCCCCCTGAACTTCACAGGGAACTTGCCAGGGATGGACCGAAACAGTGCTCTTCGTCGTCGTCCTGTTCTCGCTGCCCCTCGTGGTCTCGTCAGTCCGCCTCGGCTGCAGAGCGACACCGAAACGAACACGGCCCACGAGATCGCCAAAACGCGGCTCTTGGGCGTGGCTTAATGGGGGGGTCACAAATGGGGGGG